ATTTTTTTTTTTTTTAATTGAGGTACAAACCATAACAAACGTTGTGGTCTTTCATCTTCATCAGTATTTTAACTTCTCTTTCAACAAGTTAGGTTGCATGATCTGCATATCGCAGGTTGTTAATGAGTCTTCCTTCAAATCTGATGCCACGTTCTTCATATAATCCGCTTTCTTGAATAATTTGCTTAGCATACAGACTAAGTATGGTGAAAGAATACAAGCCTGATGCAATCTTTCCTAATTCCTAAACCACTCATTTTTCCCTTGTACTGTTCAAACGCCTGCGTCTTGGTCTAAAGACAAGTTCCCCATTAGCACAATTAAGTGTTCCAGAATACTCATTCTCTGCAATGTTGTCCATAGCTTGTCATGATCCACATAATCAAAAGTCTGTGTGTAGTCCATATAGTATAGTAAACATCTTTCTGGTATTCTCTGCTTTGAGCCAGAACGTGGCTTGAACCTCTGGCAGTTCTCTGTCAATATACTGTTGCAATTGTTTTTAAATTCTCTATAGCAAAATTTTGCTAACATGTGATATTAATGATACTATCAAATGATTTCCACATTCTGGTGGGTCACCTCTCTTTGGAATGGGCAGAAATACAGATCTCTTACAATCGGTTGCCCAGGTACCTGACTTCCAAGTTTTTTGGAATATATGAGTGAGTGCCTCCAGTGTTGCATCCGTGTGCTGAAATATTACAATTTGTATTCCATTATTTCCTGGAGCTTTGTTCTTTGCCAATGACTTCAAAGCACCTTGGACTTCTTCCTTCAGTATGATTGGCTCTTGATCATGTTACCTCTTGAAATGACTGAACCTTGACCATTTATTTGTTGGCACAGTGACTCTGTATACTCCTTCCATCTCCTTTTGATGCTTTCTGCATCATTCAACATTTTACACATAGACTCATTCACTATTGCAAGGTGAGGCTGAAATTTTTTCTTCAGCTCCTGAGCTTGAGAAATGTACATTGTGTTCTTTCCATTTTTCTAACTCCAGGCCTTTATACATTTCGTTATAATATTTGACTTTGTCTTCTCGAGGTGCCATTTGAAATTTTCCATACAGCACTTTTGCCTCCTCATTTCTTCCATCTGCTTTATAATCTCTACACTGGAGAGGAATTTTCTGAGTCTCTTCTGACATTCATTTTGGTCTTTTCCTTCTTTCTTGTTTTCTCAATGACATTTTGCTTTCTTTCTGTGTGATGTTCCTGATGTCATCCTACAACTCTTCTAGTCTTTGGTCATTAATGTCTAATTCATCCAATCTGTTTTTGAGTTATCTAAATTCAGGTGTGATATGATCGAGGTCATTATTTTGGTTCTTGCAGGCTTATTTTCATTTTCTTGAGCTTCACACTGAACTTGCATATGAGCAATTGCTGGTCTGTT